GTAGCGGGTGTATTGCAGGTAGTTTCGTTTATGATGCAGTCTTTGCATTGTCTTTGGGCCTTTTGTGTATTTATTTGTTACATTTTTTTTTTCACCGTCTTTATGTTCTGAAAACAAAAAATTAGGCTAATGAGGGCTAAGGACGGGCCCGAGATAGTTGAGGAGCTTCTGTAACCCTCAGGAGCCATTTAAAGGAGAACTATGAGGGGGGGGAGGGGCTTTTCACTCACCTCATAGTTCTAGCCGACCTGTGACAATGAGACTGTCACAGGTCGGCTCAGTAGATCGGGAGGTGAGGGAACACATACCGGCGTTCGCTCACCTCTCGATCCTGTCTTTCTGCCGTGACAGGGGAGGGCTAGATTCCCCCCTCCCCGCTCCGATCCTCCAGCGCTGACTGGCGGAATGGACGGGGGAGGGGGCGGGTACAGCTGGCACTGCCTCTAGATAGGCAGAGCCAGCTGTCACTCACGCAGCTGGGGGGATCTCGACATCGATGTCGGGATCTGCTCCGGCTGCGGCGTCTCAGTATACCGCGAGCTGTAGCTCCCTATATACTGAGCCCAGGGTGATGGGAGGACGCTAGTTTGTGTCCTCCCGTTACCCTAAGGAGAACTATGGGGAAAAGCCTTAACCCCATAGTTCTCCTTTAAAATAGGGATGCACCGATATATATCGGCCGCCGAAAAATATTGCCCACAAATGACACTTTTGGCATAATGCCGAAAGTGCCATTTTCTAGCCAATATAGCGGTGCATCCGTTCCTTCTCTCCTCCCCGCTGGGCGCTGCTCTGTGACCCAGCGAGGAGGAGAAAAACTGTCACAGGCGGCCGAGCGCTGTGAGCAGCCGGCGTCCCTCCTCCCACACCGCTAGCCCCTTTTACAGATCAGAGGAGAGCAGTGTGTGGGCGGAGACAGCCAGCGCTGTCACAGGAGGCTGAGCTCTCCTCCATACACCGCTCGCTCAGCCTCCTGTGACAGCGTGTCAGAGAGGAGAGCGGGTACAAGCAGTCAGTGGTCAGTGATCGCGGAGTGTTTGTATATAATTGAGGACAGAGTATGGTTACTATATCCTCAATTATGAATGAATGGGAAGTGATCTACATCACATCTACATCACTTCCTACAAGTTAAAATAAAAAACATTTTCGGTTTTGGCCTGACATTTTTTTTTTTTTTATTTCGGTTTTGAAGTTTTCACCGAAATGGCCCAATGTTGCAGATTTTCTAACTTTGGGGAAATAAATACTCCCGAGTTCACCTCGCCTCTAGTGGGCTGTACTGATTAAGAAGGACTCGGGTCAATGGACGAAGATGGACAGGACCGATATGCTCTTATATCATTCATATTCTCTTGACAAATACATGGTAACAATTTTGGTAAATTTTATGGTATAAAATTAATTCCCACCAACAATGCCGAGAGTAAAGTTTCACGTTGATGTCAGCCACAAATTGTTCTAAGCTGCAGTGGTGGACATGGGATACAGATGGCCCAATCCTTCCACACAAGACCCCTACTGGACCATTGCTTGCAGGCAAAAATGTGCTTGTGTAGCACCTCTCTTAGAAAGATGGGGGGTGGGGTTAATGAGTGTTTTCAAGCGGTCCTACACAAGCCAATTTTTGCTTGCAAGCAATGTCCCAGTAGGGGTCTCGTGTGGAAGGATTGGGCCATCTGTATCCCATGTCCACCACTGAAGCCTAGAACAATTTGTGGTTGGCAACAATGTGAACTTTTGCTCTCTACAATGATGGTGGGAATGGATTTTGTTACCAAGTAGGGGTCTTGGATGGAAGGATTGGGCCATCTGTATCCCATGTCCACCACTGAAGCCTGGAACAATTTGTGGTTGGCAACAATGTGAACTTTTCCTCTTCACAAAAATGGTGGGAATTATTTTTTTACCATAACATTTGCCAAAATTGTTACTATGTAAGCTCACAGAGACTATAGCAGGGTACCTGGCCACATTAAATGGCCCCTGGCGGATTCAGTTTGCTTTTTTGAATAAGGGCATTTCATTGCCAACATTTTTCCCCCCTGTATTTACAATGGGGGGTGGGGGGGGCGGGCTGTGCATGGCAGCCAATCAGCTTCTCTCTTCAGTTTGCTCAGTTAAGATTTGAAAATGAAAGAGAGTAGCTGATTGGTTGCCGTGCACAGCTACTCCAGATTTTGTCTGCTCCAGTTTTGATAAGTTCTCTTCAATGTATTTTGAGATGGCCACATAGAGATATAAAAGACCCTCGCTCTGTATTTCTGTCAGCTCCCTGTTATCCTGTGCACAGAGGGGCTCAGAGGGTAGAGGACAGCAAAATAGGCCTATCGGATGCTACTGCATTGCTCTGAGCTGTCAATCTAACACAGAGAGCTTGCTCATAGGCAGAGAGCAGAGCGATCCCTTCCTTAGTGAGCAGCTGCTTCTTCACTATCCAATCACAGAATGGGGGGCGGAGCCTTGACCAAACTGCATCGCTTTAACTTCATGGGAGAAAAGTGAGGTCCTGACTTTTTTTGTCTGGCAGGGGTGTGTGAATCTCACAAGTGCATAAACAGAGCTGGACATCCTCTGGCAGCTCATACTGCTGATACACAGTTACTTTTTATGAAGCGGCTTGCCTATAGTTCCAATCAGCCCTTGAAGTACATAATGGGCCAATCCAAAGGAGACGGCACTGCACTGATATTGTGTGATCGGCTCAGGAGCAGAAGCTGTTCTCGTGATATGATAGCATTATTGATCCCGACGTGCTGGTAAGCATGTGCCAAGGGTGATTTTTAACCCATGGCATTCGTTAAGCTGTAAAACATAATCATCGCGTGTGCCATTAGCTGCGTTCCCATCGCTAAGGTGGCTGACCTCCTTGTAGAGCTCCTGTACAGTCTTGAAGATATTGGATGTGCATGACTGTGCCATATGGAGCACCATTATTCTTTTACGACCGCCATAAACACAAATAACTCCCACGGATGAAGAGAGTGGATATGAAAGGTAAAAGATCTTTATTGCTC